CAAGCCGAAGTCGCGTAGAAATCGCCCGCCACATATCAGTGAATTTGAATTCAACTGACGTACCCGTTGTCGTTGTTGATTTTTAGAAATATAGAGACAGGGTAGTGAATTTGTGAAAAAAGCCACATCCTCACATAATGTAGCAAAACGCCCCAAGTACTCTATGTAAATAGTTAGATGGTAAATGGCGAGCGGTATATTGTTGGTGTTTATATACTTGGAGTTGCTATCAAAAATTTGTGGAAGAGGGTCTATTTGCAAGAGAGAGAAACGAACTAATGAGGTGTACTAAATTATATTTTATTTTACATAAAACCCAAAATTTAGCCAAATATCTTCCAATACTTTACATCCTTCTTTATTTCTATAAAATCAATACTTCACATCCGTTCTAGATAGTTATTTTTACGGACCACTGAAATATCCCTACTAAATAAGAAACGGCCTATTCATACTATTTCTCAAAAATTATAATTTAACTTATTTCATTACATCCGAATCATTCCTAATAACTACCCTTTACCTAATCAAATAATTCTTTAAAATCTCTAAGTCCTTTACTTAGGAAAACCCAAAATAATTACCTATTTGTCTATCAACTAATTTATTCTCATAAAATCTTACAATGACTTCTACTTAAAACATAAAATTCCTAATTCAAAATTCACTTCATGAACAATAAATTCTTTTAACAACTTTCCCATATTTTAAGACAATTCTATTTCATGAACTTCAAGTTTCTTTCCAAAATTTTCTATTCCCTTTAATAGTTTATTTAATCAGAACAAATTCTATTATAAGTTTCCTTTTAACAACTTTCCAATATTTTAAGACAATTCTATTTCAAGAACAAGTTTCTTTTCAAAATTACCTATTCCATTTAATAGTTTATTTAATCAGAACAAATTCTATTATAAATTTCCTTTGACAACTTTCCATTATTTTAAGACAACAATTCTATTTTATGTCATCAAGTTTCTTTTCAAAATTTCCCATTGCAGTTAATAGTTTATCAGAACAAATTCTATTTTCGGATTCCTATGCCTAGCTAATAAATTCAACTGTTTAATTCATAATTCAATTTCAAAATTGTATATTGTTAAATGCATTATAAGTACCCTGCATATTTTCTTTGCACATTTAAATTAGAATGTCATTATATCTGAAGGCAATTGAAGTTATGCAATAATGTTCCATTTATAAAACACTCGAGTTATTACTATTAAGGCAATAAAGTTCCACTGCTAAATTAAAAGTCAAAAGTTTTTCTAGTAATATTCCCCAAGTTTATAAATTCAAAAGTATTTCTAGTAATAATCACTCAGTTTGTTTTTATGCAATGAAAGTCAATTGTTGATTCACTTCTTATCTTTCAGAATCATTGATAAAAGTCAGAAAGTTTTTACTAGTCAAAATCACTCAAGTAAAATTCAAAGTTTAATCACACAAAGTCATGTTCATCATTTATATTGGAAATAAATCTTGTTACTATAGAGTACTTACATTTTGTCCATAAAACACACGTAAAATTACCTAATTAATTACTAAAAATATTTAGTTAGCACGCACATAAACTATTGAACGAATTTCAAATGTTATTACTTTCACGATTTTCCGTAAATTTTCTAAGTTAAATTATACCCGAGGCCATACGCCATAAAAGTAACTTTTCGCGAAACTGGTCAGACTTTAACTCAACTGGACTGGACAATTCTTAACTGGCAACTGTCTTTAACAACTAAAAACGAGGTATTTATATTTTCCCCCAAATCGTCAACAGGCGGTCGTTTGCCTAGCAATCCGACACTTCCATTGGCTAACCTAATTATTATTAAAAATAATGATGCAATTTCCTTGGAATTTTACATCATTCTTAGCCTGAAATCAATTAATTATGTCGCAATACCGTGATTTATTGAGGTCAAAACGTTATGGGCTCAAGAATGCTATAAATCATCTATAATTAACATGCTGGCCTTGCTAAGAAAAAAAAGTTCATTGATCGGGTTTTAGTAATGTCACCGTCCTCGTTTTTATCATTTTTAAGAATTTAATTTAGATGATGACTTGGCCGGTGTTGCAATACGTTAGCGTTAATTTGTTTTATTTTTAATTTATCGATACAGATTTTAAAAATACCGGAATTAAATTAAATTTTTGATTATTTGATAAAATTTAATTTTTACAGTAAAGACTTTGTAATTATCGGGTCAAATTTCTGGATCATCACAATAATTTGAAAATCTCGAACTCCTCCTCCCTCGCTATTAGGTACTGTTTTTTTTATTTTTATACACCCTAGATTTCCGAGCACGCGGAAAGGTAAAAAAGAGGATACAACGGGTACAGAATAAAGACCGATCGCGAGAAAACGACTATTATTAGAAGCTGCAGCTGCAGCATCCAACCAACAACTGACTTCATTTTGTTTTTGAATACTAAAACAAATACAAATCTGTCAACCGCGGGAAGTTTCGAAGATCCTTCTGCATGTTCTACTTCTACAGAGATTCTAGAAACAGAAAAACTACTTATACTACTTATCCCCTATGCCAAGAAATGACCCACTGTTAAAAGCAGCATCAAGCAGTAGTAATGCCGGGTCCAGACCAAGCAGACAAAAAGTAAACACTATTTTGAGACAAAAACGCGACAAAAATTTGGATATTGAGACATGACAAAATTGAGACAAACTGTCCACACTAGAAAGACCAAAATGTCCAACAAAATTTAGTTGTTGGTTGATGCGAATCAGTTGTTTAACTATGTGGCGTTTCCAGGATGAAAATTCAAAAAATGGAGATTTATTGCTAGCCGCCAGCTATATCTTTCTCTCATCTTCATCCAATGTTGGACAAATGAAACAGAAACTTTTTTGGGTGAGACCAAGCTTAAAAAAGCGAAAAAGTTATTTCATAAATAAACTGGTTACTTAGTTCAGTACCTAACGTGAGGATGATATTGGAATAAGTGGTGAGATTCGGTCAAGCTTTAAGAATTTTCTAAGAATATCCACCGAAGATTTCGAGAATCTAATATGCCTTGTTAGTACTGCAGTTGCCAAAAGACATAGGTGCTTACTTCAGAAATGCTATAAGTGTAACAAAAAGGTTTAGCAATCACTGTATAAGATTGACACTGGTCTCCTTCTTTTGTCAGCGCATCCGTCCACACTGCGCCGACAACTTGTCGTAAAATACACAAAAAAAAAACAGAGTTTCTTTGATCTTTATCGATTCACGACGGGACTTTCAAAAGTCTCGGAACTTGGAAACAAAACCAAAAAAAAAGACAAAATAGTGGAATAAAATCACTGCTCTAACTCGCTGTTTTCTGAGGGTGGGTGATTCCGAGGTATAACCAGATGAAACCTATATCATCTTGTAGAGGACACTTTGGGGCATAGGGAATGGGAATGTACAACTTTTTTTAATAGGACTGAACTTTGAAATCGGCCCTTAAGGGTGATCCAACGGCCCGCATTCAAAGCGTCGGAAAGGGTTTCGTAGCAGTCTAATTACTACTTAACTATAAGTTGTATTGAAATAATTCTTGTTGTAGCCTAATCTACTAATGTGAAGGCATGTTTTTATACAATTTCTTTTTTTTTAATAATCCAAATTAGCTCAGAAACTGAGCTTAAAAATCATCAAAAAACCGTTTTTTTGTGTGATTATTTTGACTATTTTCGGAAGCCTTTTCAAAAAAATAATCGTATAGAGACATAGATCTACTTTTCCTCTTCAAAAGGGAACAAAAAAAATATCAAAAAGTTTATCAAAAGCTGAGTAATTAGACTGCTTCGTAAGCACTATTTACTGAAATTTGTAACCGTGGCGTGGCGCCACCATAAATTGAACACGGATGGCGACGAAAGTAAAATTAAACGTATTAAGTGGATTTCGGGGGGCCGTCTGAGTATAAATTTCACTATTTTTTATTTATTATTGCATTTATTTTAGTAAGTTGACTTTATCGATTTCAGGTAACGATGCCTATATTAGTTATCTCTCCAATCGGGGGTTTTGAATTCATTATATCTGTACCTACATGCAATTATTTTCTTTACATCTTATGTAAATTGAAAGGGGTACCTATCCGGTCAATATGTATTTGAATGGAATTTATGAATAAGGAAAAAATGCGTCTCGGAATAATTCTTTTTTATTAATACAAACACGCAGAAAGTACATATTATGTACTATTATATAAACCATTGTAAAAACATACATATTACATATATTGAATTTTTTTGACAGCTGTCACAGCCAATTAAATTTAGTTATTTTGTGTCATGTGACTTAAGTCATCCAATCACGTGAACATTATACTGAAAGAAAAGTGATCCCATAAGCTGTTTTCACTTTATGACGTTGCTATGAATACATTTTCAGAAAATTCCTATCCGAAAAACCCTCGAACATTGATAACTGCTCAGAAATTTCATAACAACTTTCTCAAGCTTGTTGCTCATAGGAAACAAACCTTCACCATCGGCGTCGATCTCTTTCCAAACAACAAGCTTCCGAAATCTGTTATAAATTTCTTCCGAACAATTATCAATGTTTTTGAGTTATTACCACAGCTCATTACTATATTACTATTGATTGAAGAACAAACATGGCAAAAGTAAGTTTATTTGTCACTCATTTGTAAAACGTCACTTATCAAGTCACAACATAAACAACGAAAATTGATTTTTACAAGCTCTACTGACTTGTAAAATAGACAGCTAAACTGTAATTTTTTTTTATCTACAAGCGTTTGGTTATGACGTTTTTACATTACCATTTTTCTAGTATTTCAGTTATGTCATAAGACTCATAACACAACTAGTGGTGTTATGGTCTAGGTTATGAATTCATAACACAACTAGTGGTGTTATAGACTTGGTTATGAATCCATAACACAACTATTTTTGGTGATTTGACAAATGTCAAAGTTAAACCTGTAAAGGTAAAATGAAGGTACCTAGACAACTACTAATAAACGAAAATAATTGAAAAAACATGCTTAATTTTTGCTTTGTAGATAAAACGTTGTACATAACACGTGCGTTTAAACATGACTACAAAATTCGTATGATTAGAACGACTCGGTCTACGACCTCATCTTTCTAATTTTCCGCACTCGTTATTGTAATCATGTTCATAAATGCACTAAATGTAAATAACTATTACAAGTTAGTAGACTTATTTATTTTCAAAAAATCAGTTTTATCACAAGAATAATTACTTGTAGGTATATATACCTTCTGGAAGAGTGACAAATAAATTATTGTACATTATACGCCAGGTAGCAGTGTTTACTGGCTCTTGAAAGTGACAAGCTCGCCTGACGGCTCGCTAGTCATTTCCTTCAATCGCCAGTAAAACATGTTTTGCCTGGCTAATAATGTAAAATACTAACATCCTCAATTGACTATTCAGGGTAGTCAAAAGTGTTTGGGAGGTAGGGGTGTCTCTACAGGTCTTTTAATGACTTGTTTTTTTATGTCTCGGATAGGCATATTACGTGCTACTCTTGAATCTACAATCTCTGGCAAAAGGCAATTGTCAAAAAAATCTACAAGGTAATCCTGCATTTCATGTGACCAGAAAGATTCGTCTGCAAGGATAGTTTCTGTTTTCAATCCGTGGGGCGTCCACACAGCGAAGACACAGTATAATCGTTTAGCTACATGTAATTGGCCCTGTACTTGGTAAAACCACTTATGTTTTTTATTGATTACACCATTTTTGTCCCAAAAAGTAATTTTTCTTTTTATTATGCCTTCTTCAGGGGTCATTTCCCTTGCAGAATATGGACACTTTATTTCCACAATACCCTTTTCCTCAATTATACCATCTGGTGAAGCTGCTAGAAATTGTTGTTCTTGGTCAATGAATAGCCCACATGGTTCAATTTTTTTGCCAATAAGTTTTTCTAGTGCATTTCTAGCTACTGATTCATATTTGTTGCCATAGTCGCATGCAGCCGAATAAAATTTTTTGGGATATAAAATAGATTGTACCAACGATTTACAACCGGTTGTAGGCCTTCGTCGGCAAACCACACCAAACATAGATGCCGTCAGCCGTTTTCGTCTTTCCAAATACCATAGATCGGAATTTTGCTGCTGCCTTGTCAAAACTTCAATGGTTTTTATGTCTTCACTACTCCTACATAAACTTTCTTTGAAATCGTTTTTGGCATGTCTCAATTCTTCATCTGTCATATCTGGTTTTTCACATTTTTCTCCATAACTTTTATTATCTTCAGTTTCAGTGTTCTTTTTTGAAAACAACGGTTTTCTACAGGCGGGTTTTCTATTTCGGTTTTTTTCTGTCCTTCTGAGTTCCATTTTTTTAGAAAACTTGCTTGGACTTTTTCCAGGAGATAGATGTTTACGTGCCGTGTAGATTACTCTCTTTGTATTGTGACTTACTACTGCAGCTGCGCATCTGCTTTGATAGGACCGTCGTTGGCAATAATTAACTCGTTTTCCTCCTATAAATTTTGCTATAACAGAGTTAAACTGTTCAACGCTATTATTTTCCACATCATGGATTAGACTCTCAGCATGGCGTACTAAATAATTTTTGAAAGTGCACAGTTTCTGGTACAAATCTAAAACAAAATAATATCAAAAGTGTGATTTTTAAATATTATTACTCTCGACTTTTACATGATGAAAATCTGTATTGAAAAGTTTAGTAAAACGATTTGCTATTTTTACAAAACATGGACATAGTAAGTTATGTCAACACAGTGGCTTCATCAGATGTCTAGTAACAATGGAAGTACGAAGTAGTTGGTTGTTTTGAATATAGCGTATAAAATAGTTACAGACTCGGTTACAGACAACCTAATATACAAACAATTTGAGAAGTTTTTAAAATATCAATTTTTTTTCCATGGATGTTTTAATTGTACTGATCAACGACCATATAAATTTTCTACTTACCAGTCGATTTTAAATCATTTAAAACATTATTTTCGTTATAGGCCTTGTAACAAAAATATCCCAAATCCTGACATTCTCGGTGTTCGTCAAAAACATGACTTATCGAGTTATTCATGTCCCGTTTTAAGTTGATGATTTTCTGGTCTAAAGACCCATTTTCATTCTTCCTATGTGATATTGCCTTGGTTATTGCCCATCGTAGTCTAAGCTGATTTTGCTGAAATAGAATTTCATATTATGGACTAAACACTTTTTTTTAAATTATTTATTTTTAAACAATCTGAATATTTCGTAATATTTTTGGAATCCTTATTGATTTCTTGTTATTTTAAAAAATATATGATATTGTGCAAGGGGCCCTCTTGCGTAATCCCTAGCTGCAATATATCTAGGACTTAATTTAAATACATGGTTTGCTTTTGTAACGTTAATTTATCCTTACTTCAATTATTTTTCGAAGATTTAGAGGACCTGCTTGCGTATCTTTCACGAGATCTCTAATTTTTTTTGAATAATTGCGCAACAAATGATTTTTGCATTCTATTTTTTTAACACGAATGTTTTCATAAGGGTGAACTTCTAAAATTCTTTTGTACGTGTTGCTGTCGCCATCTGCTATAAGTCTGTTATATATCAGACCATACATCTCAATGCTTCGCTGAAACCCTTCTGCTATTATATTTGCCTCCATGCTTGCAGCAGAGCCAGTCCAGTTTTTGTAGCATTTGTGATCTTTTGGGGTGGAATTCTCTTTTCTTTTGGAGTCACATACCAGGCAAAATTTGTTTCGTACCCCTATGAATAAAACCTTTTTAGTGCGATATCCCACAATTGCTGCAGCACCTGATAAAGAGTTATATCGGTTTCCATAAGACCTCTTTGCCCAACTGCCATCCGCTACAACTGTTATTGTTGGAATGCCACTTTCATTAATATCACCAGCAGCAATAGCTAAAGCTTTTTCTTCGTCTGCTGCATCCTTCATAGCTTTAATACTTGTTTCTTCCCAAACATTGGAAATCTCATCATGAACAGTGCTATACATACGTCCTGACATGCACGGTATATCCAGAGAAGCTGATATTTGCTGCAAGTGGGAAAGGCCAGAACCAATTGACATTACACCAAGGACAGCATCTTTGTTTATGTCATCGTTCGATTCTTTGCAGGTTGGAATAATACACGTTTCATTGCACATATTACATTTAACATGGATGTGTGATAGGAAGCCTTTACGTTCTTCCTTAATAATACGCATATTTTGAAGGGTACATGCAAAATGGGGCGCATGATTTGAATAGCGTACAAGGGAAGTGATAAAGAACCCTAAGTCCACTATTCTTCTACCTTCAAGTACTTCGTCAATACTTATAGAGCCCTAAAAAATATTTACGCATAAGTAGCTACCTGCATTTTAATATAATAGTTATTTATGGAACAAGTGTGTAAAGTGAAAAAAGGTGCTTTACGCACGTATTGCATACAAAATTTTTCACTTTACGCACTAGTGCGTGAAGTAATTTACCAGAAAACTACTAAATTGACAGTGTCGACATCTGTCATTGACATCACTTTGCGCACTAGTGTGTGAAGTGAATTACTTTACGCACTAGTGCGTGAAGTGAAATTTTACGTCTTCTGAATAGTGCGTGAAGTGAGTATTTTACGCACGGTTGTAGAAAAACAAAATAAAATTTATCCATGCACTCATAAACGGATAGGCTAAAACTAAATACTTAGGAGGTAAATTAGTAGGTATGATTTCCTACCGTTCTATCATTTGTTTTCTCATCTTCTCTATTGGATTTGTTTCCATCACTTTCAGTTTGTATTTCGTGTGATTCCTGCATAATTTCATCTGTATGGTCAAAGTTTGTATGGTCAAAGCTTGGGTCAAAGTTTGTATGGTCAAAGCTTGGGTCAAAGTTTGTATGGTCAATATTATATTCAAAATCAATCTTAAAATATTGAAATGGTAATTAAAACGTAACATGGTGTTAAGCCGAAAGGTACTTACCTCAATTTCATTGTTTAAATAACTTAAATCTCGTTCCCTTCCACATTCGGCACTCGCGACTTCGATATTTTCTGAATTGGTTTCCCTTGACGTTGATTCTATGTTCTCCGAAACGGTAGCTACGAAACAAACTCCAAATATAACGCTGTATATAAGTGATATACAGTGTAAGGAAAAAGTATAAACAATCTCAGAAAATTTTGTTCTGACTAGTAAAAGAATTATTAAAATACAGAATAGACAAGAAATACTGGTTGAAAAAAAACTTTCGAAAAGTAACAAATACGCATTCAAACAAAAAATGTTTCAAAAAAACTAAAATTTACTTTTTCCCAAGATGGATTTTGACATTGAAAACTTTGAAACATAAACAATAATGTTGCATTTACATTCACTTCGAAATCCAATTTGTCTTGAAATTGACGTGCTTGCCATATTGCCCCAGCACAGATCCATTTACCAATTTACATTGAAATAAATTTGAAGTTCACTTCGAAGTGCACTTCAAATTTTGGCCAGCCGTTTGCCGAGGTCGAGCAAAAATTTATGAAACGTCAAATTTTTAGATCATTCATCATGATTCTCATAAAATTCTGACTTTTTGACTTGACGTTTTTGTTCTGCAATGTAAATGATAATGATAAAATATCAAGCGTCAAATTTAACTTGAAGTTTGAAGTGAATGTAAATGCTCCTTTTCACTTGGTCCTGATTGGTGGCAAAATGCCGTGTCCCTGTAGGTTGGAATCAGTTTTATAATGCATGTCGTGCAAATGACATGTTGCTACAATAGGGCATGTCCATGTGACATCACAAATTAGTTTGACAATCGCCCTGAGGTAAAACAAATCATTTATTTACATTGGTGTAGATTAGGCCGGTTATGTTTTATGCGGTTTTCACAGCTTTTTTGCAAATTTTTGTGTTATTTTGTTTCAAAAAAGTTAAAGTAAAGTGTTTATGTTCCAGTCTATGTGGTCTTTTATCCAGGAGTTTGCTAGGTTTTTCTATAATGGATTAAATTCAGGGTTTTTCCAACAAAAATCAAAACCAAGTGTCACAAGAACAAATAAGTATAGTTACTCTATAATTCAATCTATTTTTCTGTCAGATCTTCTCTTTTAACAAAATTAATCAATTTTTTTCTTCTTTCTTGAGCTAACAAATCAAACCTTCCATTGTTATTTAAAATTGATGGAAACCTATGGAAGGATATTGTATGTGTGCCTTGCGCTATACTGCCAGAATTAACAACTAAACAAACTCTAGGCATGTCCAAGAAACTTCTGGACCACACAAAAGATATTTAATTAAAAAAATCTAACTAAAAACCTAAAAAACCACTGTAAATACAGGTATTCTTTCGATCTGAACAAACTGTAACTGACTGTAATCACATCAGGTTTGTTTATGAGGCGTCAAAAAAGCAGTTAGGGCCAATGAAATCGTGGTAACACCAGATGACAATTGTTTGAAACAAACCTCAAGTGACTTCGATTAGTTTGTTCAGATCGAAAGAATACCTGGAATATATCTTTGTTTTACCTCAAGGCGACTGTCAATAGTGTCAAACTGTCAGATCGTGTACTTGCCTGAGCGGCACAAAACATCCCCTCTTAGAAATGTAAGTCTTATGAGAGACGTCAGTCTAGTTGTTTCAGCTTTCCCCTCCAATCACTAGAGGCGCTTCAATCGACCTATTAAAGTTTTCTTTTTCCTGTCGGACCGTGGGCCAAGATTTGAAGTTTATTTTGTCATTTCCAGTCGTTAAAGTTTAAATTTTGAACTTCTCCCAACATTTAGAATTATCAATTACCTATCAATTATCAATAATTATTATCTCAAAATGTCTTCTCCCAGTTTGTTAATTGAAAAGCATCAGAAATGCTGTGTTCCGGGGTGCGGCGACAAATATAGCAGCAATTTCCGGTTTCCAAAAGATGCCGAAAAAATGAAACAATGGCTAATAAAAGTTCGCAATCCTTTGCTAAATAGCCTCAGTGTCGAGAAGGCTTATAATAATTAAAGAGTGTGAACAAGACATTTTCCTCGAGAATTTATTGTTGGCGATCCAAAAGCCAGACGAGGACTCACATGGAATGCTGCGCTTTTGCTGTATCTCCCTGAAGGTAAGTTAATACTAGATATATGTGAGAAGACGTAATTACATTTTCACTTACTCCTCCCTATAGTTCTGATTAACGACAACGTGTTAGAATTCGGGTTTAAAGGAGCATAGGTCAGAAACATTAAAATTAATTTTAATTTTAGCCCCAATTATCAAAAACAGTGAGGAGTCGTTAATTGATGAAACACAATCACCAAAATGGCAAAAAATGGAGATCGACACAGTTGAAACTCGTAAGAGTCCAAGACGTCTTCAGAAATTAGTTTCGCAACTATGATTGACATAGGTAGGTAAACATAATAAGTCTATTTCAACACGTCAAAAAATCGTCCCATGAACGGTTTCGAAACCACTCAGTATACGAATTTTAGTTTCTGCGCAGAATCGTGACGGTACATTGTACGGTTTTCTGCTGTGTTGGAACAAAGCTAATATTATTCATTTCTTTTTTTTTATGTTTATTCCTTTATCAGGAGACACAATAATTAAAATATTCCTGGTTACATACAGGTACACCATATTCTACAATGCGTGTATCCAAACTTTTTTGGTAGAATCATTGTTAACCAAATTTCTGTTTTAGATCAACCAGGCCCTTCACGTTGTCAACTTTTATCTACTGAAACTTCGGCAATTGGGGCAGACATTGCTACACCAAGTGGAACTATCACATTTGCAAACATGAAAAAGTCACCAACTTTGTCTCTTAAAACTTTTATTGGTAAGTGTTATTGCTTAATGAATAACCACCCAGTTGGGAGTAGGTATTTGAATTTTAAAACATCATAACTCAAGTAGGACTACTACTATAAAAGACTATTAATTACTAAAACTTGCAATCGAATGCTAAAAAAATTAGAAGCTAAATGTGCGAACTACTCGTCCCTAATCTTGATCTATTTTTTTTTTTGCAGGTCATGAGAGACGATGCCAAATTTTAAAGAACATTAACGTCACTAGGCAAAAATTCCTATCCCCAAGGGAAAAATATCTTTATTCCAAAGTTATAGAATCCAGCAATAAGTTAAGAAGAATCAGTAGAAGGTTGTCGTCATTTAAATCCAAAGTTTCTTCTGCTGAATAACTTGCATCATCAACCAAATTTCAAACGCTCGTAGACCATGTCAATCCACTGATATACAGCTTTATTTTAAGCAAATCCGTACTCAAAACCAAAAGCCTAAAGCAAGACGATTTACATTGGACGAGAAGTTGTTGGCGTTGTCTTTGCTTAAATCTAGTGGTAAAGGGTATAGACTATTATCAAAAATATTTACTCTATCATCCAGGCGAAATCAGTTTCTTGAATGAGCTTTATATTATGTATAACTACATAAACTTTCAACTTTCTACCTAACACATGCGGAAAGTGTATTTCCTGGACTCAAAGGCTTGCCCGAACTCTGCTTTTTGTTGTCATTCGTGCAACTTCCATCACGTGCAGAAAAATAGGTATCACTTTCCTCACTTGTTAGGTTAACAAGGATTTTGGATTGTGAGAAAAGGACCTCTTTTGTCCTTTTATTTACGACTTAAGTTTTTCATCAAGCTATTGTTAAATATACGTCATTACTTCTTGTAACTGTCCTTATTATCTTCACCTTAACTAGCATTACCTATGTATGTATACCTACATGAAAAAAAACTGTTTCGCAATAATTTTAATTAATTCCATATTCTATTATATTTTCTGTTTCAAATTTTAATAAATATCTAAAGTCATCTCAATTCTTAGTCAATTTTACCTTGAAGGCGCTTCAACGCTACCGATTTTATGAGTTTCTTCTTTTTGGCACATTATTATTTTATGCCAAAAAATAGTAGAAACTTTAAAGTGGTGGTGTTGAATCGCTAGAATCAAACAATGGTGCAAACAATCCACCGGAACGAATAAGATACCGAACGAACCCTAATTGCGTTTTGCATTCGCCAATAAATCCAGAATTACAAAAGCTGACCCCTCCAGTCACTAGAGGCGCTGAAAACTTATAGACAGGTTCTCAACATGGTACTTACCTTTCTAAGGGGGGATGTTTTGTGCTGAGCGGCATATTTATGTTTCAAAGTTGACAGTGTGAAAATCTATCTTGGGAAAAAATACAGTATAGGTACCTATATCCTATTCACAATCCGTAGTCCAAAGGGACAGGTAAATTTATCACCTTTGCCTATCAAATAGCATTGATACGTGATAAATTTTACCCGATATTTTACCTGTACCTGTGGACATCGGATTGTGACTAGATAATACATCTCGATTTTAATATATGTATGTACATACAGTAGTATAACTGGTTAACTGGTTCTAATATTAATAGTTAGCGCTACTATCTTTCTACTTGTAGGTATCTACTTACTGTTTTGAGTCTTTGATTTTGGAAAGCTTTTTCTTTTCAATCGTTTCGCATTAAGTCTTAATCGGGCTTTATTCCCTCGACGGTATTTAGCTTCTTTATTCATATTATTATTTAACTGCCTAGCTTACCTAGCAATGTATCTAATAAATATTTCCCGGGATAATTCTTAAACTATGTAAACAAGATTAAAACAGTTAGGTGTACTAATTAATCAATATAGTTATTACCTAATAACAATAGCGCAATACCCAATAAGTCACAAATAAAACGTTTTTTATAAATATGTGAACGATAAAAATAAAAAATATTCAACAGTAAATAAACAACAACAATGTTCGCTGCTCTGCGGCCGGACCTGTCGCGTGGATTAAAATATTCCTTCATAGTCTCGCTCTACTTCAATAAAGAGATAGACTAAACATCGCGGTCCACCTTTTTCTTACCTCCCGCTTCCTACCGACCCGAAAAATAACCACAGGCAGGGCTGTTGGATCAGCCTTAAACGTGACTGAGCACGAATTTGAAAAACTATGTTTTTCTGAACATTACCCGCTGTATTAATTTAAGCATACAATCTAAAATTCTGATTTTTTGCCTACTTATACTTGAAACATGAGCGCTTCTAATGACAGTTCAGAAATTTCGAAAAGGCTCAAGGTTTTTTTGTTAAAAAGTTAGGAATATAGAATTATTAAAATCGTGCATTTTAAACTTCACCCTGCGGCGAGCAATGTGTATTATTGAAAATTTCTATACATATATATCGAATCAAATGTAGTTAAAACATTGACAAAGTTTAAAAAAAAAAAAATTAAGGCGCTAACTTTAACAATTAT